TCTGGTGAGCGGCAGCTTCGGAGGCCCCTCCTGAGCATGGGCAGCGATGGGTCCCCCCCCCACAGGTCCCCAGAGGGTGTTTGACCCAAAGGGTGTCCCTGAGCTGCAGGGTGCCTTTGGGCATGTCTCCCAGCACAACGCCCGGCCCTCGGCCCCAGCAGCCGGCCCTTCCTCTGACGGCCCTGGAGGAGAGCAGCGCCCGATAAAATCTTTCTCACAAGTTGAAAATGTTTGGTCACAGGGTTATCCGAGTGCCGCCCTGGCTTGGAGGGGGTGAGGTGGTTGCAAGAATTAGCTGGGGCCAGAAGCACGGGGATGCTTCCGAGACAGCCCATGGGCCGTGGCACCCCATGTCCCCCACCTGTAGGGACCCCGCAGTGCTGGGGCAGCACTGGCTGTGGGGTGCAGGGGCAGTTTTGGGCAAATCACTTGTGCCCACCCCGCAGGGTCCCTCTGAGAGATGTTTCTTCAGTCTCAGCTGTAGGACAACTTTCTGCCTTGTGCCTTTCCCCCACCACACTGGTGATGGACATCCTTTTCGCTGGGCACCGCTGCCCGCCGGGTACCCCTGCCCCCCCTGCCTGCCAGCTCCCTGGCGCCTGGCAGCAGCGACACATGAGTGGCACGGATAAGGGTTCGCCAAACAGGATGCCGGGGCTGTAGATAACACCGCAGTTATCTCACTGCTCGTGTGGCAGGGAGTAAACAAGCGGCTCTGCCCACCCAACCCCAGGCAGCCCCTCTGCCCTGCCAGCGAGCCGGGGCACAGGGTGGGTACAGGGTGCTGGGGTGCAGCTCTGGGGATGTGCCGCATGCAGGGGCAGCCCCGCCGACACGCAGGCAGCCTTTGCCCCAAGCGAGAGCAGAACCACCACGCTCCTGGGGACCATGCTCCAGGCTCCCCATGGCACCGTGCGTCCCTGGAGGGCTGGGCTTGGCCACCGACCCGCCTGGCCCTCCCTCGATGGCACCCATCTTCTCAGCACGGGAGTGACACCTGGAGCCGTTATGCTGGCTCAACATGGGGCAACAGCCGTGGAGGCGGTGGCAGCCAACGGAGCAGGCCACCGACACCCCAGACATCACCAGTGCTTTTGTCACATGTCTGGTTTAATGCAGAGATTTCAGCCTTCTCCTGTCTCACAAGGCAAGCCCAGTGACAGATTCCTCTACTTGTCACCTCCGTCACCCCCTGCGCACGATGGCCGGCTCCCCTCCCCTCCTGTCTGGCTCTTTGCAGCGTGGGCTCTGTCCTCCCGGGCTCCCGGAGCAGAGCTGCCGCAGCCCGCCCGGGGCCGGCAGATGAACATACTCAGCCCTGAGAGTGACGTCTCCAGCCAGGGCCAGCCCGTGGAGCAAACACCGTCCTCTGCTCCGGCCAGGAAATCCTGCCGCATCCCCTCCGGCAGGCACTGGGCCCAGCTGCTTTCTCCCCTGAGATGGTGGCATCCCTGAGGACGTTCCACTCCTTTTCGCAGGATGAGGCTGAGCTTTCCTCTGCTCTTTGTCACCTCCCTGCTTCAGCGCAGCCAGCAGTCTGATGCTTTCTCCCCTGGGATCTCGGCTACCTTTCTGCTCCAAGCAGCTACCGTGTCCTGAGACTTGCCAGTCTATTTAAATTGCCAATTTATTTTCTGCGGGTGGAGCAGGTGCTGGCACAACGTGCGTTCCAAGGTCTTTCTTACATCTCAACCATTTCGCTTTTGCGGATCTGTGCACTGCCCCGTCCACACCGCTTTGCCCCGTGCGGCATCCCCCGGCATCCCAGGAGCCCCGTCCGAAGCACTGTTGCTGTGGCCATCCAGCTCTCCGGGCACGGGGTCGGCGGCGCCTGCTGAAGCTGCCCCTCTCTAACAGTCCTGACTTTTGGGGCAAGCCCCTGCAAGAAAAAGACAAAAGCTAAAATAACGAGGTGAAGGATGTTCCGAACATTTGCTGTCACCTTTGAACTGAATTCCTCCTCCTCTGACCTCTCGCAGCTCTGCTTCAAAAGCAAGATGGCTGCAAACACCATTTTAGCTGTGCTTTGGCCATGGGCAGAGGGGTGCAGGCTCCTCCACGGCTAAGCAGCCAGAGCAAGAGGTTGTTTCTGCTTGGAAACTGGAAGGCAACATAGGGAGCACTTTCCTAGCTTCTTTTTATTTCTATTTACCCTTGAAAGGAAAAGGGCTGTTTTGCAGAGAGGCATTTCGGGTGGACTCACCGGCCCGAGAGGAGGCAAGGCAGGATGTTCTTCCTCCACCCCATGCCTGCTGCTCCGCTGGGACTCAGCGGGCCCAGCCCCACGCCGGGACCATACCTGGCTCCTCGGGGGAGAGCCGCGTGCAAGGGGAGCTGCCCAGGCTGTCCAGCTCCAACCACCGCCACCGACCCTCCTCTGCGGCTCTGGCGCTGTCACACCGACCTCACGCGAAGGCTTCCCAGCACCCAGCAAGAGCTAGGACCCCGCTTTTGCTCTACGGG